AAACGCATTCAAACGCAAGTGTCTGAACCGGCCTTTAGAAGCAATCGCACGCAATTCCGCATATGCGCCTCGGAGATGGTGGTTTGCCTCTGCCGGACTCCGAGCCACGGGCACCCGATATGGTCATGCGGCATGAGCCCGTGGACGTTTCTTCAGCTGCTGCAGTCCAAAGTTTCGACAGTTGACTAGTCGGTGATAATGTGGTTTGGAGCACGCAGACCGGGGTCGTGTTTAAAACTGAAGCCGATACGAGGTGTTGCCGTTATTGAATATTCTGATATTTTCCCAGTAGTGTACTCCTGCCTCGCTAAAATATACGTACCTCGCTGCGATGAGCGAGCAGATTTCCTCTCCCACTTTTTTATAGTTTTGTCATTAATAAATTCACACAGTGCTATTGACTTGTCCTTCCTCATTTTATTATGTTTAGAATATACGCGCCTGCTCAAAACGACTGTTACAAAAAATCAAAACAATTGTATTTATTATCTCGGCAGAATATCACAGGTCCCCAGGGCTATCTAAGTACTGCAATCACTTCTACAGGCCTTAAAGTGTACCTGAAAATATACTTCTTTATACGATAAAAATTATTTCATCATATTCTGACTTACCAAATTTCTTGAACAAAAATTGAAAAAATAAAAACGGCGTATAAGGCACCACCCAACCAGTTTATTTGGAACTCGATTAATTTTATGACGTAACTTGAATACAGAGTTTGCGGAAAGGTTGCGGTTCTGAATTTTGAGGGTGCATATCGGATGCTGATACAAAGCCTAGATCGGATACATATACAATTATGTTTATAACATTGCGGATGCGGTTCGGCTGCGCATACAACTCTTGCGGATGGGGATCAGATGCGGATGATGCGACTGTTATTCGCGTAGGGCTTCACCTCTAATGTATGAAATACGGTGTTTAGGTGCGATTGTTCCAATTAGTTGAAAGACATCAAAGAGTCGTTCTGGTAGTGAAGAACATATGATTTAAGAAATCAGGGAAACTAAATTTGTGTGCTACGTGGAGACTGAAGGAGGAGCCTGAAGAAAAACATCTGCGGAGAAAACGAAGACGCTCAAGGAGGTTGAGGAGATGTATTGGGAGAGAAAGAACGACGGAACGGGTCGGGAACTACCTGAGCACGAAGCCCCGGTCTTGGACAGCGCTCCAGTAATAAGGTGGACCGATCGTTCGTTCAGAGCACGTTTGAGGGCACTGCAAGCGCGACGTGCGGCCGCGTTGTCACGTAGTCTTTCTCCTTTTCTTTTTTTTTTTTTTAGTATTTCGCGGGTTTCCTTTTTGATGCTAATAAAAAGAGGCGCGCAAAGTTTATCATGCTGGAAATACCTTAATTGGATGTTTCTCAATGCTCTCGACATCTTTCCAGTGCGCACATCGGCTCTGAAATGAATATTTAGGAATTAGCTTATTAGTCTTAATTAACGAGGCACGCTGAAAAAGTGTGCACATTTTCAAAACGCTTTCTAACAACATACATTTTGTTTGACTCACGGAGAGCGCTCTGTTCGTACGTAATGTTTGCTGTAAGTTATTTGGGACCCTCTATATTATCTCTGATGGAACATATATCAAAGAATGTGGGACTTCTTTAACATGTGTTCGCGACGGTCCCGCTGCTGCGTCCATTCATATTCTCGTAGCAACGACAAGCGTAAAACTGAAAAAGTGGTTTCAATGGCACAATTGTGCCAGAAACAAAAGAAAGACAGATCGTTGAGAAAGCAGCAGCCAGCGTGGAAAGCGGCATGCAACAGCAAACGTCTATAGTTCTGAGAGTAAAAGCGTTCTAGCCTGAGAGTGTAAGAGTGAGTCGGCAAGGCCACGCTGGGCACCTTATACAGCACCCTCGGTGCCTCAAACATTCGGCCTAGAATGTTGGTGTGTCGCTACCATGGCAGAATGAAGCGGCAAGGTCTTGTTGGCCTCCTTATACATCACAATTTGTGTCTCGAACATTCCTAAAATAGTTGGAGCGTCCAACATTTGGGGTTAGAGTAAAAGCAAACTGGATATAATTATTGAAAGCGGTTTCTTGGCCGTACACGCTGCATTGTCCCCCCACCCCCCCAAAGAAAAAACCTGCTCCACGTTGTTACGCGAAACGCGCTTCATTTAGCGCTAGTGGTGCTAAACCAATAGCGCTGCACCAAGTGTTTTGTGGAGTTAGTGGAGCTAGTGGTGAATCGGTGTTCGAGGTAAAGTTCGAGTTAGAGTTAGTTAGATCTAGAATTAGTTAGAGTTAGAGTTACCGTTAGAGCTAGTTTGAGTTAGAATTAGAATTAGCTAAAGTTACAGTTGTAGCTAGTTACAGCTAGAGTAGGTTAGAGTAAAACTCAAAAGGTATTTAGAGTTGTAGTTAAATAGTGTTGGGAGGTAAAGTTGGCCAGAGTTACAGTTGGCGGTTGTCAGATTTAGTGGAGTTAGTGGTTGTAACTCGATGTTTTAAGTGTCAGTTTTCCCTCAAAATATAGCGGGTATATGTAGCAAACGTGACGTCCATTTTATCGCTACATCTAGAGAGTAAATTGAATTTCTGTATAGGTCGCGTGACATGACGTCATGTGACATTATTTTTCCCGCTAAATGTAGCGGGCCAAATAAATTGGTGCCCAGGTTTCGTGACGTCAATTTCACCGCTGAATCTAGCAGGACAAATGAATTTGTTTGCAGGTCACATGACGCAAAACCACGTGACGTCATTTTTGAACCTAAACTTTGCAAAATAAAGAGAAGTAGCGTTGAGGTCACATGGCGTCAATTTTCTTGCTAAATCTAGCGGAAAAATGTCGCCTTAAACTCGTACAGTCCACCGGGCGATACAAAGGCGGTGATATCTCCGTCCCGGTCATCGACTTCGATCTGCCTGTAGGCATTTTTCAGGTTCATCGACGAAGATTATTGGGAGTGCCGCAGCCAGTCGAGTGTTTCGCCGATGCGGGGGAGCGGGTAGACGCCCTTTGTCACTGCGTTGAGCTGCCAGTAGTCCAAGGAGGACCTAGGCATTCCGTCGTTCTTAACCAGGAAGACTCGAGAGGCCCAAGGACTGCTGAAGACTGGATGATGTTGTCGTTGATCATTTCCTGTGCTTGCTTTTAAACGGCCTTTTTCTTTCTTTACGAATACATGGTGCGGCGAACGATGCATAGACTGCGCGTCGCCGTTGGTGACGATGCGATGCCTCCGAAACCGCTGTCTGGCACCCCATTCACAACATCGAAAAGCAGTCGCTAAATTCGGCGAGAAAGTCTATCAGCCGTCATTGTTTCGAGATGGGGAGCTGCGGGCTAATGTCGAGTTGCAGTAGCGGCGTAGTGTCCTGGTGATATGGCTAGGTCCTCAGAAGTCGCGGGGATTTCAGCAAAGTCGCAGTTCCTGGACATGACACAAAGCGGAATCATTTACAAGATGTTTGTCCTGCTGGACGTTCGTCATAAGGACAACAGTTCGACCTATATTGTATTTCCGGTACTCCCTTTGCGGCGCCTATTCTTCTTCATAGAAGCAGGGGAACGTGGTCTTCGAGAAGGAAATCGCCCAAGATAGCTGCATCGGTCACGACGGTTACAAAACCTCTTGATCGTGGGGGCAGGTTCACGTGGTAGACAATGATACAGACAACGGCTGGCATCGTTCACGCTTCCTCCAAAGCAACCAAAGGTTTTCGCAGTGTCAAACTTTCCGCTCTGTGGTCGATTGCTGAGGAGTATACACACAAAAAGTCCATCTCGACAATGACCTCTCGTGCACAGCCTTGTTGAACCATAAATTTCACGAGGCATATTGAACCATGGCGCTTAACTCGCACTTACGGCGGGCACAAAAAGGTATCCTCCGACGGTTCGAATTCGTGGCGTCGGCGTCATAGTTTTCTTAAGGTGGTGTGAGAGTTTTCCACGCATGATGAAATAGTCTTCGCCGATATCCACGAGTGTCGATATGTCATGATTGTCGATGATGACGTTGAGGTTCTTCGGCATCTTTCCAGAAATTTTGGTCAAGTGCCTGGTATCGTTAGCGTGGGTCATTCCGATGGAAACCGCGCAGCACTAGAAGCCGGAAGGGGAAATGGCTGTAGGTATGGTCGTTTTCTACGCAGTCTGTGCAAAGCAGGCGAGGGCCGACCGCTCACCACACGTCGGACCTTCTCGGCGTAGGTGCTTCCAAGCGTGTGCACTAGGTCCGGACGTATTGGTGTCGGATATACATGCTTGCGGGGCACTACGGGTGTCCTCCTGGGATTTACGGCGTACGTTGCCGACGGGGCTTCTTCAAGGGCTTCTGCTGCGTTAATGGGACCCTTCATTTGGACGGTTCGCTTGATTTTCACTTGTACTACACCGGCAATAGAGAGAGAAGTCGGGCGATTGGGAGCAGGCAGCAATTTTCTGAGCTCCTATCGCATGACGTCACGGATCTTTTCTCCAATGCCCGCAGGGAGAAAACAGAAAAATTACATGGAGAAGAATTAAATTTAACACCGGGAGCTCGATTGCTCTCACAGCCGCTGTGACAGCCTCTATTTTTTCTTCAGTACATGAAAGGTTCATACATTGATCATCACAACTTTCTAAAGAAAAAGACAACTATTTAAACATGTTTAGATGTTTTATTGGTGAGAATGCTATGACTATTAGGTGATGATGAGAACCTCACTCGAAGATGTTGCACGGAAATAAAAATGAAGAGATCTATTAAATTTTCCCCCGCCGATATTTTATTCCGCCATCTTCCAGGCTCGAAAAATGCATCCTTGTGCATAAAAGAGAGAGTTAATGAACTTCGTACGGGCGCGTTCACCCCAAAGGCGCGGCGAAATTCCACAGGTGTTTCTCTTTACAATGGTTTATAATAAAACAATGACGTAAAACTGATGATGTTTTAGAGTGACATGGCATCCAGGTTCTCACTTTGGCAGGAATAAAAGGACCACACATTGTCGTATATTCACTCAGATTCCTGTCGAAGGCGCTATGATGGCGTTTAACGTGTGTACCTTTCTTCAACTGGCCGTCTTTGTTGCCATTGTATTTAATGTCAAGTGAGTTTTATTTTATATCCTCTCAACTTTGTTTATCACTCAAGACTTCGTCTCACGGCAAAATCATCAGAGTTTTATAGATTGACTCTAGCGAATTAAGTTGCTCCAGACAAAGTTTACCTTTAAAACTTAATCCGTTTTTAAGAGAGAGAGAGAGAGAGAGAGAGAGAGAGAGATAGCGAAAGAGTCAGAAGAGGAAGAACAGAGAGGTTAACCTAGGTTAACAGTCCTGGTTGGCTACTCTGTTTTGGGGAGGGGGTTGTGGGGAATTAAAAGAGAATGGAAAGGATAGGTGAATATAAAACATTAATCTATTCATAAACTGTGTAACACAAGCAATTTTCGGTTTGCTTAATTTTAGAAAATTTCAATCATCAACATTTTTTTTTACGTTTCAGTATTTGGAGTTTGACTCAGTTTCAATGTGTGTCTTACGTTGCTGATTTTTTTTAAACTCTTCCCTACGCTGGACAATAGGATAGATGAGGTTACCACTAAAGTTACCACTCGTGGAGCAGGTACAAGGCTAGCGGTTGCTGTAAGGCGCCCTCGCAATATTTCCGTCCCTTATCTAGCCCCAGCCTTGTACCTGCTCCACGAGTGGTAACTTCAGCGAACTATTGCACTTCTCACGCGCTCAAAGTTTTTCTAATGATTACTGATTTAGGGGTTTTGGACGAAGCTCAGCCAATTTCTAATTGGAGACATATGACTATTTTGAAAAGTTAAAAAGTTAATTAGTGATCTTTAAATAATTAGCCGACTAATCGCAAAGATTACGCAGCCACATAATGTCCCCCTGGGCGTATGACTCACTTGCACAAACCGCATAAGTGTAGCTTTCATGGGTTTTATTTTAAACAATCTGCAAGAATAAAAAAAAAAAAACTTAGAGCTATTTTAGACTAAGATTTCTTTTTATTATTGCAACACGATTGTTTCGAAACAGTACTGCAGTGAATTTGTCTGCTCATATATTGTCACATAATGTAATATAACGATCAATGTTAATTTAATGGAACCTCGTGGCTTATACGCCAGTTCAGTATAATTTGAGAAACGCTCTCTCTTTTGCCGTTCGTTGGGACAGAACTACTTAAACTTCATCGGCCGCCAGGTTTTATATATATTAATATTTACATGAAAACCGATTCAACTAAAAATAAACAGCAGAGGGCGCGCTTACCTTGAAATATACAAAATCACTAGGAAATTGAGAGGAACGTTTTTAGGCAATAGTGGAGTTACGGAAGAGCAGTTCTCAGTTAAGAAGAAAGTTAAGGCCACAAAAACAAATCGGTGGCTAGAGGGAATGCAGACAAAGACGGCTCTGGAAAGCTATAGATTAAACAAAACAGTTACTGCCAAAGAAAGCATTTATGACAATTCTAGGGGAAGCTCATTGTTGTTTGAAGCAAGGACAGGTGTTTAGCGAACCAGAAAATATTGAGCGAAGTACCAGGAAATAGATGCAGTGTGCGCCACTCGTGGAGAGGAGAACGAGACGGCTGAGCTCTTGATACTATACTGTAAAGGGCTTCACCCTATGCCTTCCGAATACAACATCGATTTAATAAAGTCATTGGGTTTTAGAGACAGCGAAGTAAAAGTGGATTTCAAGACAGTAGAGATTACCAACCCTACTGAAAAAAACAGCTTAAGCTGGTCCCAGCGTCAAGCTGGGTTATTGCCGCGGCATGCCCAGCTTGGCATGTTGGTTGATCTGGTCCTACTGGTCATGGTGGTTGATCTAGTTATACTGGTCATGCTGGTTGATCTGGTCCCAGCTTCAAGCTGGGTCGGCATGCCCAGTTTGGCGTGCTGGTCCTGTTGGTTGATCTGGTCCCAGCTTCAAGCTGGGTTATCGCCCAGCATGCCCAGTTTGGCATGCTGGTTAAACTGGTCATGCTGGTGGACTTCCCAACCAGTTTAACCTGTTTAAATGTATACACAGGATAAACAAGCCAAGCTCTTCAGAAAAGCCAGCTCAGCATCCATTTTATTATTCTCGTACTTGCGGCCGCCTCACATGAACTCAGCTGCTACATATCCTCAGCGCTGACACAGTACTAACCGACGCACAGACAGTGGTTCTCGGTGCAAAGCCAACAATGTTAATAAAACCAGACTGCTTATCGTTCAACACGAAAAATACTAGACACTCGCCAAAAACAGGCAATAGCTAAAGAAAAAACTACACGGATGAGAGAAGCGAATTTGGGTCCCGCCAGTGATGGGGGCGAAGAGGCAACTTGCGTGATCGGCACAGGCGAGGAAATCCGTGTGGCTTAGATGGCATTGGCGATACTCCTCGGCACTACCATCATTCACGAGCACACACACGTTCGAAGACACGAAGCGACGCCTCAGTAGGGACGTCCGACGTCTTCCCGCACTGAACGGACTGCCGCTCGCTGTCTCCTCAAAACCCGCTTCGCCTGCACCGTCGTTCAAGTAGTCTACAAACAACGCGCATAGAGCCGTCCCTTCGGAAATCTGCGCAAGATATCAAAACGCGTCTGAAATTCTCCGTTCCTACCACTGTCTCTCTCTCTCTCCCTCTTTTCTCGCACACAAAAGGAGCTTGCAACGCGCCTGGCGTGCCCGGTCGTCCACCAAAAACGAGAGGACAAAGAGCAGGACGTGGCCTCGTTCCAGCCTAAGCCGACCTTGGCGCGCGCGCTCTCAGCAATGCCAGTTCAGCTATCTCGTGCCGACCTCGGCGTCGCGCTCCCAGCATGACCAGCTTGACCACCACGATTATTAGTTCGATCATATTTACTAGCTTATCTCCCAGCATGACCAGCTTATCTCCCAGCTTGACCACATTGACTCCATGGAAAACCAGTTTGACCAGTTAGGACCAGACTAGCTCCCCGGCTACACCAGATTGAATCTAAAACCAGATTCTAGTTTGACCATGCTGGTTTTTACTTAACCCAGACTGACCAACTAAAATTCTAGCTTGCCCAGCTTAAACCAGCTTGATTGGCAGTCAAACCAGTTTGATTACCACATTTATCAGATTGATCAGCTTAGTTACCAGCTTGGCCAGTTTGATTTTCATGCTGTTTTTTCCAATAGGGAAGCAAAGATTAAGTGAATGATGGCAGAAAGCCAGAGAAAACTAGGTATTTTCTTATTAACTGATGGCAAGGGGTTTTTATAGCCTCACTTTCTTTTCAGTGCGGAGGGAATATAGTTTTCACATTTAAATATTCTAAGCTTGATAGGTAAAACAAAATGGCTAGGTGGCGTAAGCAACCGCCCGATCCCAAGGGCTCACCCGGGTTCATCCATCCATCCATATAGAAATAACGATTCTAAAATGTTTATTCACACCTAATGTTTTATCAAAAGCTCTAGGAGATCTGGTCTTTAACTTTCATGGAGGATGATTTTTACGACTAAGTAACAGATGGTTCTTTATAATAATAAAGAGAACTTAGTTGCTCCAATGTTATTTACTGTTTCATATAGCTAGGTTGTGTATGGTAAATATAAAATGAGTGAGAAGTATTTACCAAAATGTACAGTGATCTTAATTTAAGTAATTTTCAATTCTAAAGAACGTATACAATTCATTATTTAAGAGTATGCATGTAGCCCATCATTACCGACCAGCTTTAGAGATATAACAAGCTTGGATGTAAATGATCTCTATCATTAACAAAAATAATGTTGTTTATGAGAGGGATACAGAACATACCACACTTATAAAGTGCATTTACTCTAATTCATACCAAAAGGTAATAGTGGCGTGAGTCGTATAGGCACGGACTTCACCATGGATTTATCAGACTCGGGAGACATTAGATAGTGGAGTAACATCACGATAAGTTAGCTAATTTACCTAAATTAGCTAAATAACTTTGAAATTATTGGGTTTCATGAATATTTCGGTATGTCAGCGTTGACAGCAATTAACATTAGATAGGAAACGCTTTGAAATAATTTTGGATTGCCAATTGACTTTGAGTTAATCATCAATATACTTCCGCGTTTTCACGCCAAATTCCAAAACAGCATTTATAAAGAGCTCGAGAAATTCCGTTCAAAATGATGCATTAAAATGCGACTTGGGCGTTTCACGTTCCTTGTCCTACGCCATTATATTTGGTATTTTTTCTTAGTGGCTGCTCTAATAAACGTTGCGCAATGTACAAAATGAGAGTGCCTGAAACGAGTACGTCACTCTTCCATGGATACTTATGAATGAGAGTCTACTCATTTCTTTGCGTTCAGATCTTGTAACCGCGATACTAAGACATGAAAAAAGACCCATGAGTTACTAGAAACTGGATAGTGTTACAACTTTTTCTAAATCAATATAGCTCTAACTGTAAGTGCCCTCTGTATTGCAATTGCAGCGCAACCCATAAAACCGTTGGTGGCAAATTTAATTCTCGAATATATTTAATTAGCCAAATTATCATAACAGTGATGATATCATCTAAGTCCATCGAACATTAGAACTGTATGGCGATGAACGTGTCGATGTAGAGCACTAACCTATCTTTAAACAAATGTTCGAAGGGAACTCAAAACAATCGTTATATAATGCACAGGGTGTTCCATGGGATTTACAAATTTGCGTAAAATTACACGTGAAATGCATATACGTTGTGTGCAGTGAAATGTACATCTTATACAATCGTGTGCGCAACAAAGACGAGGACAAAAGCAGAGAAGGGGACACAACAAGGCGCAACTTTCAACTGAATTTTATTGAAAACGTGTTCCCGTATATATATAGTCTCAACCATCGTTACAATGACAACAAAAAAAGACAAAAGTATAGGAAGAAAAACACCATGACAGAGCATAACTGGGAAACAACACTATCTCGTTCTCAGGAAACACAATTCCTTCTCCGATAATGCGATCGACGGCATAGCAACACACATGTCTCCTAAATAATCAATGTGCTCGGCTTCTATGATTTCGCGTGTTACCGCTGACTTGCATTTCCCAATTTTTACACATTCATCCAACAGTGGGGTTTACCGCATTCCGTTGTCCTGTGGCAGCCACTACGTCGGGCAGACGGGGCGCTGCCTAAATGATCGGCTTCGCGAGCACAATAACAACGTGCACAAAAAGAACGGTGGCTTTCTTGACTTGCATTGCAGGACATGCGGTTGTACCCCACTGTTGGATGAATGTGTAAAAATTGGGAAATGCAAGTCAGCGGTAACACGCGAAATCATAGAAGCCGAGCACATTGATTATTTAGGAGACGTGTGTTGCTATGCCGTCGATCGGATTATCGGAGAAGGAATTGTGTTTCCTGAGAACGAGATAGTGTTGTTTCCCAGTTATGCTCTGTCATGGTGTTTTTCTTCCTATACTTTTGTCTTTTTTTTTGTCATTGTAACGATGGTTGAGACTATATATATACCGGAACACGTTTTCAATAAAATTCAGTTGAAAGTTGCGCCTTGTTGTGTCCCCTTCTCTGCTTTTGTCCTCGTCTTTGTTGCGCACACGATTGTATAAGATGTCAAACCAACTCGCCCAAACAACCACTCTTCTTGAAATGTACATGCTGTGTGTGTAGGAAACATAATACAGTGGGCTAATCGTTATGATAACTGGAATAATAAGCTAAAATGTTCTAATAACTTTGACATCAGTGAAAATAAACATGATCGTTTTACTTATTTTAGAATCGTGCCCCGGCCATCCGTTTTCGCATCTGTAGCCTTGAACATGATATACAAGTGGTAACTTTAACTCACCAGGCGTTATAAATTTTTCTTAAATTTACTGAATTTGCGGAGTTCGAGAGCAAGTTGCAACTTGAAACCATATGATTATTTTTTTTTCGGAAATAAGAGTTTAAATAACAGATTTTAGGTAATTATACAACTCACGGCAAAGCAAAAACTATCTATGAAGCCTAAAAACACACCTGGACATGTGCTGTTGAAAGTAGTATTGAATGAACCATGTGTTATTATTTGTTAAAGATATACTAGCTTTTGTAATTGTTACGTTCAAAGGAGCCTGATAATATTTCCGTGAGTTTCTTCAAACACCTTTTCTTTTCTAAAGCTTCTTATCTTAGAATATTATGTAATATTCTAAGATATATGTAATATATTCTAATTGTAATGTTCTAAGATGTATGTAATATTATAGAATATTACAAATCTTTATATCTTTCCAGCCTACATCCAGTTTCTGCTGAATCCAATGGACAAAGTTCCTCTTCCAGTTCTGGAAAGTCAATGAAGCTCGATTTTTGCGAGACAAACGTAAGTTCACTTTAGTGTATTATAAAAGATTGTTTTTTCTTGTACACTCTAAAAAAGTCCTGCGCGTCTGCTTTCCCGAAAACCGCTCGAAGAGCAAATCTCTGCGATCTGCGAAACCAGCTCAGTGAATGATGAGGGGGAACATCCGTTTAAACCTAAAGATGAAGTGTGCTCGGTGGCATTACACAATCCAAAACGTCATGCTGGCATTGCGTAATGAAACTGCGCAGACGTAATTTTGAGGTCTAAACAGATGTTCCGCCTTATCAGATTTGCTCTTCGAGTGTTTTGCGGCTATGCAGGCAAGCAGGCATTTTTAAGAGAGTAGTAGTCTTGTTTATTCATGGACAATTTTAATAATAAAGACTACTATTACCAGACGTGAACATTTTAAGCTATTTATAGGTATCGCCATACTGTCTGAACTCGAATGTTATTTAATTAGTGTTTATTGCCTCGTAAGTCTTATGCAAATAGCAAATATATTAAACAGGTCAGTATTTTTAACTTTAAGTTTTTATAAAGCATATTGAGTAAGGTATAATAAATGTTTAATGCGTTCTTACCAAATTTCCGCGTACATGACGGAGTAGTTAGTGTACGCGGATGCCATGATTAGACATTGGGTTTTTTGTGCTTAATGCTGATCACATGAGTTTGTTTCTTTCTGGGTATGATACAGATGAAATAAGGAATAAAGCTGAAAGGGAGCTTGTTAAATTATGTGACTTGTCCACTTGAAACGGTCTAAAACTAGACGTAAACAATTTAAAGCAATTTTATTTATGTCCACGCAAAAACAGGCACACATATCACGAAAATTTTTAATTGGTGACAGACCGATTGAAAGATTTACCAAACATAGGATCCTCCGCGTTGCTTTTTCGGCAAACATGTCTTGAACGGATTATATTAAAGCTTTATCAAAAGTGTTATCATTTGACGACAGCGCGGTTTCTAGATGTCGGCACTTTCTTCCTGATAAAGCGCAACTACAAATTTATCATGCCTTTTTTACGTCAAACATAAATTACTGTTCACTAATCTGGGTTACAACCACAAAACAAAATATATACACCATTTTCATGTTGCAAAAAAGGCACTTCGACACATTGCTAATGCGCCACGGTCACATTCAACCGAGCCGTTGTTCGCGCGTTATAATATAACAAGTGTAAAGCATATTTATAAATATTATTTGCTTTATTCTTTTTTCTTTACGAATGGGAACTTCAAAGCTTCTTTAAAAACATATCCAAATTAACGATATAAGAAAAGTGACCCTCGCACTCGCAGCTGTGAGAGGTGGCTAATACCACGCCGGCGAACCGAATACTTCAAAGAGTCGCTAACATATGAAGTTCTGTTTGTACTAAATAAATGTGATCGAAAACATTATGAAAAGCTCTCTCGCAAGGAATTTAGGACGTTTTTGTAGAAAACAGATACAATTGCAATTTCTTGTATCATCAGAATGCAACGGAATGTTAAGTTGGGCTAGTTGGTTGTTCATGACTGGAAGGAAGCGCCGAAAGACGGGGACAAAAGGAGTAGGTAACGACGACACGTGGAGACGATACGTATTATACATACGCATCATATTGCCGCCCAAGAAACGCTCGGTCACGGACTTCTAGAAGATTCGCGTTCATTCTCGCACCAGACGTAATTTTTCCCTGCTTTCTTGTTCTCAAAAGTGCCAGTTCATTTTCGCCCCGAGCGCGCGACGCTCAAACTTTCTTAGCCAAACTTTCGGGATAGTGACGCACGGTAGATAAGCCGCTGCCCGCAACCTTGTCGAGTCAGTCTCGCTCGCGCTCTCTGTTTCGCCGCCGAATCGCCGCCCACTTTTCGGCTGCCTCGACGCTCTTTTGTTACTTACTTTTGGTTGGCACAAGTTCGTCCATTAAACCCTTTTTTTTCAGTTCACTGTTCGCCTTCTCGTCGCCTTAATTCGTGACAATATCACGTATGTCTTTTTGTGTCATGTGAATCCACTTAGCTACAAAATGTGAAATGAGCTATAGTGTTTTTTTGCAATTATTTTTCTTTTCATATGATGCGCTTGAATGTATATGCATTTTCTTGTATATTTCTTTGCTATGTTAACGCACGTTCTGTATTACTGTTCATTTGTTTTCGATATTTTCTGCAAAATGCCGACGTTGCGCTGTTTTTTTTTAGTTTTACTTTATTTTTCACGAATCGTTGCTGCTGCTAGTATGTGCCCCCAGACACCCTCAAGCTGTCTTTGACAGTTTTCTCTCTAGGGTCCCCCAACAATATACATCGGAAAAACTAAACGAATTGAATTGAAATAAACTCCAATCGGCATGTTTTTGCTATTTTTTGTTATTCATCAATGTTTTTCTTGAAAGTTCCGGACCATTCTTTCCGGTCATCGGGTGGTAATATGCCACGCAACGTTTTTCTAAATACTCCAAAATGCCGAAATCGTATATACATGAATCATGGTTTCATGGCATCATCCCGTAGGAACATATCAAGGCTCACTTACATCAACATAGGTGCGCGAAATTGGTGAAGTCTGGTTTTTAGTGAGTACATAACCAGATTAGCACATTTCTCACCCGGTATAATATGCCGAGCCTACGACTTTGGGACGCCCACTTGTATTAGCTAATTTCGCATTCTTTTATGACCATACGAACAAGCAAACAAATAGTCTCACATAACTACAATTACTAGGTTTTTGGTATTTTCAAACCAATATGCAGAAGTCAAATTTTTCACCAGTATAAATTACGTCTACAACCTTAAACTTCTCGGGCGCTTGTTTTGCTGCCGATGGAATATTTTTTACATAAGAAAACGAGTGGAAACGGGAGAATATTGATCTAATATTTTAAACATAGATTGATTGTACTATACTATTTCTTATTGTGGATGTATATTTATGAGCAACTATGGTAGTTCTTTAAGATATTTAAATTGGTAAAATATGTTAATTAATTCCGTACTCTTACGTTAAATAGATCTCAGCTCAACTCACAATTTCACAACAGTTTTTTTATTAAATTTTATATACACCATATTGCAACATATCTAGTTCTGATTATTTCACCAAAGAGCACTATTTAAAATCATTTTGTTTTAAACAAGGCATCGCATATATGACGTAATAATGATAGAAACAAGTGTAGATGAAATAAAGTACCTATAAATATATGATAATACGAACAGCTGTGTATTGCTTGAACGACCTTCCCGAAAGTCCTTCTAGGGAAATTCAGACGTTCATAAAATATTAATATTCCGTGAATAATTTAAAACTTTACTGACGTGGCATAAGTGCAAATATTGCACCCTTGAAACCGACCTTGATGCAGATGTACAGTCGCCGGCCATATGAGCTCCCCCGGCCGAACGCCGACCGGATCAGCGAAAATCCCGCACGCGGCGCGTCGAGCGTTGCCGCGTTTTGGGAGCCGGGCTATTGGGACCAAACCATTCCGTTATCAAAGGGGTGGACGCATAGCTTTTATCGAGATTTCATCCTTTACAAGTGTGAATCACGAAAACATGGCCGATTAGAATTGCCGTCACGGGTGTTGGCCCCAAGTGTTCGGAGATGATGGTATAACTGCTGATAAACTGGAGCTCGCTTCAGCCGTAGATAAAGCAGCAGTGTTGGATCGATGCTTACAAATGTAAAGACCCTATGTTTGATACGATAATAGGCATGACAACAATGATCCCTCGGCAAGCGAGAAGTGGCTGACCAGGAAGCCATCTGCAAAGTCATCGTGTAGATAATTACGCTTGGCGAAGCAACACGCTACTGAGCGCAGAACAATAGTCTTTTCGATAAAACGCGTTCATGAAAGTGACTGAATCTTTATTTTGCTTCGACACAAATCTTTTTTTTGTGTTATTTATAGCATATCCCTATAGATTAAATAAATTATTTCAAAATCGCTTGTCATTGTCTAGTCTAGGTTGTGCGTGGGATTACTCTTCGGGTAGGAAATATTTAAAATGACAAACCGGTTTTGCAAATAAAAAAGTAGCATATAACATGTCACATATATTATGCAGCGAAGAATTTCGATAAGCCGTCTGCGTTTACCTACAACCGGAAGCGAGATTGTAATCTGCCGTGTTTCAGATTCACGTTCCAAAACGCGGAATGCTACTAAACTTCCTGCGTCCACCCCTTCGATAACGGTATGGTTTGGTCCCAATAGCCCGGCTCCCAGAACGCGGCAACGCTCGACGCGCCGCATGCGGGATTTTTGCTGCTCCGGTCGGCGTTCGGCCGGGGGAGCTCATATGGCCGGCGACTGTACTTCTATATAATATGCATGTGCACCATGTCTTCAAAAGCTAAAAAAGCACTTCCACTAGAAATTGACTATCAGTTTATAACTTAGATATTTGTAAACCCATCGTTGCAGTTTTTTTTTTTATTACAGAAACGGCAGCTGAATAAATGTTTTCATTACCTTAGTGTTCTTGTATCACTTAAATTAGAGCGGTTAAATCAAGTATGTTATTTACTTGTATCTATGTATTATATTGTTTATCTGACGTAAGGTATTTCTTCGCAACCGACCAGAACACCGTTTATATTTTACATATGTAATAAGTAATTCTCAAGATATATATTTGTAAGTAAAATATGCGTAGATACACTCCGTTACATATATTAACACATGTCATGCCTATAAATTATGCTTAAAATCTAATTTGGCTTGTTAGGTTTGGAAGCGGTTCTCCGGTGCTAAAAAGAACACGTTTTATTGTATTAAATGACTACATATTCAAACTTCTAAATTCCCCTGAAAAGCTTCCCATCTTAATATTTACTTCTGGCAACAGACTACAAATTTTAATTCCATCATGTTTTTTTTTTTTTTTTTGCGTAATGACTTAACATCAAAGCTTCAAGCGTCTCAGTACTAAAAGGCAAAAGCGTAATTCCCTAATTCGAAAAATTGAAATGACATTAAACAACGACGTAACATATACAGCAATACAGGCTTCACACTTATCGCACCTCTGATTTGTTTTTTCTTTTTCATTTTAGTGTACAGAGAAAGACGGAGTGTGGAGCGAGTGCACTGGCGACTGCTTCTGTGTACATGTTGGCGACAGCAAAGAAGGCCGCTGCATGCATGTGATTAACTGACTTGGGCACCCCATCAGAAGACCGAACTTAACCGCCCTCGACGCTGCCCGAACTAGCCCCATGCTCCCGAAGAGAAAAACGGCGGAACCATGACTCTACGGCCCTTTAATTAAGATTCTGTCATGCACTTATATTTACCGGGAAACACGCAAATAAAAGTCAATAAGGATATAACGCAGCCATGAATGAATTGTTGCCTTCTTATTTTGGAAAGAATCTCAAATAGTCTTCATCTATGCGCTATGTTTATCGTTAATTAAACGTTCGAGGAACAAAAATGATCTCGACTCAAATATAAATAATAAGATAAAAATATTGATCTCATTGTTTTAAAAAAAGTGGACATGAAACGTTTTAAATTGAGTAGAGAACGGTAGACTTTTGTTTCCCTTTCATTTCTGGCGAATAAAAGGGAGACCAGCAAAATATCTTGTTTTCGGGAGTTGTTAACACCTTCCCTGGACTTCTGCCGTAAAACCAGTAATAGAGCATGTGATAGCGTGTTACTGGTTTTTAAGTATTCATGTTTCACAAGCTGGCAGCACAGAACACGCTTTAATTTAAGAATTCAGAAACCTCTGGTACTATGCTTGTCCCATCAAACCAGATGTGTGTGAGGTGGGGGGAGGAAGAGAGAGCTGGAAGGGGGAGCTGGCATTCTACGAATGTCCTCCGTCCGGCAGACCATATGAGTGGAGTAAGCCAGTTGCACATCAGTCTTGGCAGGAGGTGGGATGTAAGAACGGCCCATACCTCAAAGCTTTGTCAAATACTTTACGAGGGGGAATACAGGACACTCCCCGCGAATACAATGGCCTCGGGGACGACAGGTTTTGCGCACTTTGAATGGGTGGATGTGTCATGGCATTGCGGTTTTCCCCTTTAGGATCGGATGGTGACTAGCGCCGTCTCTCGGTGCGGGATATTTTGCTACCGGCCGAACTTCTTTCAATGTGTGCACGCTGTTTGGTCGCGGCGGCGTAGGTCGTCTGTGGAATTGAGAAACCTGCGGACACTTTATTGGTGGCTCATTTAAAGGGCGCGTATACGTAGGATAAGCCCTATGTCTACGTTCTGTTATATAAACCGCACGCATGTGTCCCTATCAGCGAGTATCGAAATTTGTACGGGCGGTTTTGAAAGCTGCTCTAATACGTGTGGTCAGTCGTAATCGCACTCCAAAGCAGTACGGAGCAGCTAATATTAAGGAACTATGTCGACACGAGAAGCACGTTTAGCAGGCACAGCAATGTATCGTCATATGCTGCACCGCAAAGTATTTGCTACTATGATTATCGCTAAAGCGACTGAGAAGGTGCCTTAAAGGGATACTGAACCGAAATTTGGATTTTGTAAAATAAGGTGGCAGAAGCGTTGAACGGGACGCTACGAACCCCAACACATCGCTCGCACAGCGATATCTCAAACGGATGGCCGTACTTTTGGAGAAGAAGAGCGCGATCGAGCGAGTTCTTTGACGTAACTGTCCTCCGAAAGAATTTGAGAACGAGGGGAAGCGGCCTCGCTTCTCTCCTCCTCTCTTCGGTCACCAGCTCGACGGGACGTAGCGAGGAGGAGAGGGAATGGGGAATCGTGACGTCGCATGCCTTGTTGGCCGTATTCAATCGCACACTTATTTTCCAAAATACGGCGATCCGTTCGAGATATCGCTGTATGAGTGATGTTTTTGGGTTGTACACCGTCCCGCCTATCCGTCGAGCCTTGTTTTGTGAGCTCGAAATTTCGGTTCAGTATCCCTTTGAGTAAACGACCTTATTTTTGCGAGCTCGGTATGTCTGGAACTTTCCCAAGTGCTGGTTTCGGTAATGTCTGGCTGGCGCAAAAATTTTATGTTAGGAGTGGAGTTCCGTGTATTAGATATGAGACAAATTAACCGAGTGATCCATTTCTCGCTATTTTCAAATTGCGAATAGATGGTGCTTTGCAGCAGCCCAAGGCAACAAAACAAAATATTCAGAAAGTTGGGAATAATTTTTGATTACTTCGTGTATAGTCAACATAATTCCTAACAGACCATGCTCGCCTTGAACAAAGTTGGTTTAGTATATTTTAGTATTTCTACAATGATAATTGAAGGTGCGAGCTCAGATTCCACTCATAAATGTTATTCGACAATCTTTTTTTTGTTGAAACAATATTTATTGCACATTGAACAAATATGTAGAGCTTTGGATTCAACAGACACAGATCTTTGTTTACACAGACAATAACACTTTGTACAAATATATACAGCGCAGCATTCAACAAACACGGATCATATATATGTTTTACTAACGCATTTTGAATAAGGTAGGTCAGCATAAAAAACGCGACGCCGAAGTTGTTTACTTACGTGATTTGATCTGGAGGGCACCAAAAGAATGACAGGTTTTCTGCCCTGGAAGGTTCGGTTCTTGCAGTGGAGAACGGAGCACACTGTCCCTCCGGCCATCTTCACTGGCTGTTTACAGCAGCGAACGCGTAATACTTGGTGCACTACAACAGGACACTGTATAGCGTGTCATCCGCAGAGAAGGACGCCGGCATCAACATGCGGTGACAGGTCGCACAATAGTCGCCGCTGATAGTCGTCGCGCCCAGCCTAGCCCGGTGCCCGCGTGATCACCCGCCCGCGTTTGGCGTCGTCGGTGACGCATATCGGTCACGTGTTCTGGCGGAAGGAGAAATGGGAGAGGAGGGGAGGGAAAATAGGGAGAGCGACACACCCAAATTATACCGCGCCACCAGGGGAGGAATTGGCGCGGCCATCGCTCCGCCTAATGCAAGTGAGCGGAGTGTCCTGTATTCCTCCTCGTAAAGTATTGGGCTTTGTCACGCTGATCGACATCCCTTACTCTCCACGCCCTATGACGGTAGCACACCAGGCCCGGGCTGCCCAACAGAAATTCGCCTTGGCATTTCCCATGCCCAGAGGAGCAGTACCGCGGACTTTGTCGTTGTCATTCTACCGAAGTAGGTAATAAAAAAGAAAGGTGTGCTATACTCCTTTCACCGCTAAGGTACGACTCTAATGGAAGACCTGCCCGCAGGACAGATTGCCGCCTCCCTCTCATCACCGGGCCAGGCTCCCTGCGCGCGGGTATATGCGGAAGTATGATCACGTTTCTAAATAGAGACAGATGGCTGGTCGAATGAGGACGTAGCTTCCACAACGGTCAGAGCTCAAACGAGAACGGAGTATTAGCTGGTGCAGTCTGCGAAATTAAAAGCGCCAGGGAACGGGACAATAAAGACGAGACAAACAAACATCTACATTCAACTGATCGTTAATGTGGAAAAAACGCAAGTACATATCCCTTCTCATATTGATGACGGAATGTACTCGAATTATTTTTGTGTTATATGTAATGTCGCTGCATTAATACATTTTGCTCCACCGGCAAACCTGATGCTAAAAGCCTCGAAAATTTTCCTTTCGTTTTTTCTCTTTCCTTTTCCCTGCATTTTTTCCCGTTTCATCTCAGTCTGGCAGCAATATTTGTGGCAGTGCACCGTCAAGTGGCCTGATGATTTTTATTTAGTTGAAGAGATCATGGCCTTCAAGCAAAGCGAACAACGTCAGGCAACTTGGCGGTGCACTGCTACGAATATTGCTGCCGGCTGGAGTTTGGAAGGAAAAAAATAACATCTAGGCAATAGGAAAAAGAAATTACATATATATTTTCGAGGCTTTTAGAGTCAGGCTTGCCAGAGAAGCAAAATGTGTTAGCGTGCCGTTATTGCATCTAACACAGAAATAATTTTTGTACATTGGGTCTTCGACTGAGTAAAAGTTATATACTACATTCTAAAAACTGTCACGCTGAACGCCACGCTAACCGCGAGTTTCAAGCGTGGAACCGACGTCAATACGACGGGAATGACGTTTTAAACACCACGTGATCGAAAACAAGCGTTTGTTTTCTGTGTCCAAGCGTTAGAGCAGTCCGAGAAATCCCACTCGGCCTTTTTTTTTTTTTGGACGTGATCAATACCGTTAGCGTGACGACCGCAAAACACACGCTTAGATTTTTGGAGAAACGCGCGCGCCTCCATTGATCGTCACGCTAATATATATCCGAATGGGTTGACCCTCCTGAAGATGCACCTGCGCGTGCTTTTTTCTTAAAATTTTGTTGATGTGAGGTTTTTTTCTCTGGAAGCACAGAGGGCGCATGCGTCCTCTTTTTTGGCGGGAAAAGCGAGAAAGCCGTTACGCTGTTCCCGTTGCTCCCTGGCTTGCTCATTCAGTTCCCGACACGCCTTGTTTGTGGCTGGGGCTGGTGGCTGGACCAGCTTGACTGAGTGAGACTTGCGAGACTTAGCGGGAGACGGCGCGTGAGCTCGGGCACAGTGTGCCATGTTTACCGCACTTGACGTGCGTGGAGTGCCGCGGGGTCGCTGTAAACATAGCGAGTGCGAGTGCCCCGAATTCATGCGGGAGACGGATCTGAATGCCAGCCAGGGAAAGGGCTTCCCATTTGGCTCGTGCCTTTAATGCGGCCATTCGCCAGCTATTCATGGAATACTGCAATATTTGGGTAAGAACCCTGTTTTCGTTTGTCCCTCATTACTGTCTTAATCTGCTGTTTTTTTTTTTCTTTTGTTACGAAAGCGCAAGTATCAAGTAGCACAATGTCCACCGTGTTTCTTTTCTTCGAGGCGATGTGCTTTTCAGCATAACTGCCACATCTAGGAAACAGTTTTTGCAGTTTGTGATCGAGTACGGGATTGAAACAAATGTTGTTTATTCGGAGAGGTGAAGGAATGAACCGTGCATGTTGGGGCGTAGATGAGGTATTCGGGCGGGTTTCTTCTCGGCTGTAGACACTGCAGTACATAGGTAAGCTTGTTATTCCAAGTGTTGCATTGCTGTCGCAAAAACTTCAAAAGCATATTTTGCCGGAAGTCCCGCCTATGCGTCGGTCTCCCGTGTTGAAAGTTCACGGTTCGGAATCGACGAACACCCAGATTATGGGTGAAGGAGAGAATGGGTACGT